ATGGATTGAAAGATATTATAGTATTTGTAATTGTAAGAGTTTATTTGCTGCTTTTAAGAATGACTTTACATCTATATGTTCTTGATTGGCTATGAAAGCAGTAATGATACGTTTTTTAGATGCAGAATTTATTTCTCGCCAAATAACTCCATCTCCTTTAATTTGGTTTGGAATGACTCGTAATGGGTTAACATTTCTTCCGACTTTTATGGAATTATTTAAATTGATTTCGATTGAATTCAAATGAGAAGCGCAAGTTTGACATCTCTGTCGTATTACTCTACTTAAGTTAGGCTGTAACATATATTCTTCAAGAGAATTCAAAGCAGTAATTATTATATTTTTCCATCTAATAAAATCATCCTTATTAGCGTCTGAGTTGTAATAGGCTTTCCATAAATCACGTACTGTATTTTCAAAATAAGAAATAGGAGCCATTGTAATGAAAATGCACGTAGGGTAACTAGTACTACTACTAGTACTACTATTACTTCTACTACTACTATTACTACTACTACTGGTTGTTACTGCTAAGAAAGCTGGTGAAGCGGGCTGTCTCGAAAGACTGCGCTCTTTTCCAATCGAGCACGGCTTTTAAGTACTATGGTGGCGCTGAGAGCAGCGGTTTTGGAGCTGTAGGTTGAAGAGGACGTAGTTATAGGAAAGGTGGTGGGTGGGTGCTGGTGGGGAGGGGGGGACTCTGTCGAAGGGCCCACTGGCAGACAAACAGGTGTTAAATTATCGCGAAAACTCAACACCTTCATCGGGCGGCCTCTTTGTGTCCCAAAACTTACACATATCCCTTATACATTGGCTGCATCATATGTCGGCTCCTTTGTGTCCCAGAACATACATTGCTTATCTACTTGAGTGTGCGTGCCACATGCACACACTCTCATCTTGGCGCGGCGTACGAACATTAGCGAGAACTAAACGGACGAAATCGGCCTAGCCGAGATTCTCCGTTACAACCTAGAAAACCGTCAATACTTATTTTAAATAGAACTGTAAATGTTATCAATTTTAATACAATAAATTAACAAATTATTTAGATATAATTAAATTTATATTTATATTATTATTTAAATACATGATACAAATGTCGTGCTCCAAGCGAGAGGATTGCCATATCTGCAGCCACCTGAGGGCAATCGTTGCCCTAACAAGGCAGAGAATTCTCCGCAAAGGCGTATCATGCCAGCGGGTGCGCAATAAGCGGCTACCTAATCGGGAGCTATCACTGACGAGAATCCACCGACCCCTTGGTCTGGAGAAGGAGATTGGCCATAGGACGCACGTGTCGAAGCGGAAACAGGAGCTTCCACGGATCGAGTTCGCGAAAAGTTTTAGGGCAATAAAGAACTACCTCTTCTACCATGAAATCATTCCACAACCTTGTACTCCATCCCGTATGCTAGACCGCACAAACAATTCGCGATAATTCGATGGTCGGTCGCCACTCTAGAATACAGTGTTGAAAGGGGGGCTGTAACGAGTATTTGTTGTTTCGCAAATTAAGTCGCGCGAGCGGAACGAATAATGCGGCGTGACTGAAAGAACGAAAGAATAATGCGGTATGCACGTTTACTGGCAGTTTTTTCCTGTCCGCTCGAGTCATCGAATCTATTCTTGAAAACAAACAAAACGTTTTTAAGATTTCGGTGTGTGTTGACTGATGGAGTAGGCAAGAGAAGCCAGATCTAGTGCGATATCCGCATGACGAACAGTGTGCAATCTTTTGCGAATTGTTGCAGCGAGTCTCCCGTGCGATTTTATGAGTTCAGTTTTGAACGACAATCTGCTGGTAAGGCCGCGGCTCACCTCAAAGACCAGACTGAATCTCCAAACTTCAGACCCACTACCGGACAGAGGACGCAGCCTTGGACGAGAGGTGTCCGTATTAGCGTATCATCGTCAGTGGTAGCAGCGAGAGTGAGGCGATAAAGCTTTATCGACTGACTAGCGGCATAGCTAAGGTAGCGTCCGATTTGTATTGTTTGCGAGTGAAATGCATGCTCGCCATTTTACTTAGCTCCGCGTATATTTTCTCTCTCGCACGTACAGTGGTTTATAGATAGCGTGCGTCGGCCCTGGCATTATCACTGTTGTTAAACCGTCCCTAGCGATCACCCGAAGGCCCACCCGTATCGTCTACTTGGCAATTTAATAAAGCCGAGGTGCTTAAAGCAAGATATCAGTGACCTATCTCATATCGGTTTATTTCCCAAAGTCTCTCTCCGAACGAACTCAGGAGCATCGAGTGTATCAGCCGTGGTTATGAGAGTTTTCGCGATCCTTCTTCTTATAGCACTCTAAGATCACCTGCTCCTCAATTTCTTACGTCTAGAGTGCAATTAACGGGGTAGCAGCTGCGTCTAACAGTATCGCCGAGGTGCGCGAATCCAGCCTAGAAGCAGGGCGAAGATCCGGCGTCTTCCCCGCGTGTGTGACCTTGCTCCTGAGCGCGGCACTCTTGGGGCGTAAGCTGATACTTGCATTTACGTACGCTGCGACGTCCCTTCGCTCGAATATTCACCCCGTTGCAATATATATAACGACATTTGTCTATGACTGATGTCATAGACTAACGAACCATACGCTACTCACGGAACGTAAGTCGTACTTGAAAGGAATGTCTTAAGCGTGAGAAAAAAATAAAAATGACATTATCAAAATCATGCATACATATAAACTGACCAAGTTATAATAGTATAAGTGAATAAAACAGTTAACAGTAGATATTGCGTATATTAAGATGGTGTCATATACAACGCGAAGTAAGTATTCTTACGTATCTGATGAGTATATTACAGTGTTAGAAGAATTTTTTTAATCTTGAGGAAAATAATGCAACATTAATTGAAAGTTTACTTAGCTGTAACTTTTTTAAAACTATCACGATCGAAGTCAAATATTTTTCAATAGATGGTAATCTGGACATTCATTTTGATTGATAGAGAAATCCATTTCAAACAGTATAAAAAGAGAAAAACATTGAATGTCTTTCGAAAGCGCCCGGAAGGATATAATCAAACACTAACTAGTCACATCAGAGTCGCCACCATGATATATATAATACTATGTACTTCATAAATAAGTGACGTTCTTGAGCATCCCGTATTTTGGACAAGTATTTGAAACGCGTGATTATTACATCACGGTCAGATTTATTCCTTAAGTAAATATTATTGTATTTGTATATTGTAACGGTATGTGTTTATTGTTTAAATAAAAGACCGTTGAAGAAATTTATCGGATTTATTGGGCAGCCGTATGTCCTCGGCACAGCGCCGTATTATCCGCCGGTACTGGGTTCACCGCTGCCCGGATCTGCGGCCTGTTGGCTGCTACTGCTTCTTGTCGGCTGCTATTGCGACTTCGAACGCGCTGCCTGCAAACGGGCGCGAAGTCGCGGGAAACAAAGGCAGAGCCGTGGATTTCTTTCACGGGCGAAGGAGGGGAAAGAGCCGCTAACGGGAATAAATAATGACAGCGTGCGCTAATCTTGAATATCACAAATCGGCCGTTTATTTACGGAAAACTGACATGATTGCCGAAAGTAGATGGCTGAGAGATTTTACGCTTCTCATTGACGCTCGAATCGTCGCGAGAGAGAGAGAGAGAGAGAAGAACAACGACGAGTCCGCGTTTCTAAACTCGCACGCTCGCATACAATGGGGTAGCTTACTTCGCTCGCGGGAAGGTCGACCTCGGGGATGACGCTGCAGCTGGTGGTTTTTCGGGCTCCTGGGCGCTCTCGTTGACCGATCGCCCCGTTCGCCTTTCCACGGTGTCCGGGTGGCGCTGGACGATCTGTCCCCGAAGACTCGCTGTGGTGTGGCGAACTCTCCTCTCTCTATTTCTCGGTCACAGCGCGCACTCGCTAGCGCCCGGAGAAACTCGCAGTGCCTGACGTCCTAGTCCGCTCCGGGCGCCTCCTCACGAACGCTTCACTATCGCCTCGTGAATCTACGCGTCACCCCGGCTTTTCTAATGTCCTTGTCAAGACTGTTGCTCTAATCGCGTGCTCTCACAAAGAAGACGTCCGTCTCCTAACTCGGCTGAACCAAAAGTGTCCGTACCTGTTGTGCTTATCGCGCGCGCTCTCTCCCCCTCTATCTCTCTCGTTCTTGGGCTATTCTCCGGAGCCCGGCGGCGCTGTGTGTCAACTTGCCATCGGTGGCGCGACTTTTTAATCCTTAACGAGCACATCCGCCACAGAATATTTAAACACGCATATTCTGTGACGGCGCTCGTTATAATATATATATTTTTCATTTTATTTTAAAAAACCAAAAAGTTTTTCTGAATATTTTCATGATTTTTAAAAATGATTACGATGAAATATATAATAGATGGTTAATATGTGAAATGAGAACTCATACAAATAGTAAAAGATTTTAATTTGTAATTTTTCTATTACAATCAAATTAGAATATGCTAAAAAAGTTCAAGTTAATGCCACAGTCCTGACAAAAAAATATGAAAGGTGTGATGGAATTATATAGATGTATGAATATCAGTATTTATTTTAACTTCGGTCAATTGCAAATGTATACGGCTCTCGCGGGTACTAACAACTAACGTTGAACTGGCACTAATACGTTTTCATATCCCGCGGTGTTTAGAATAATCTTCCTATTGCTCGTATAATATAGTCTTTTTGGTGATTAAATATTGCTTATTTTCGCGATACTACCTATTGCGATAATTCCATAAATAATTATTTTATTTTGTATTGTAACTTTCTTACTTTATTCTAAGGTATAAATTTTGAAATTAAGCGACTAATATTATTCTCACATTAAATACTACCTTTCCTAGAGAGCAATAATAACTGCAAAAATGTAGTTATGCACTTTCCCATGAGAGTCTATTATGAAGCAGCCAATAAGAAATGCTTTTGATGTTCTTCATAGATAACAACAGTTTTACATTTTTTATTCATGAAACACAGGGACACTGATTCGCAAATAAGAGTATTCATAAACATAATTTATTTTACAATCAACATATACACTGTTCCGACTTTGGATAATTTGAACTTTCATAAACTTCCATTCGCTATAATTAAGTTAAAATTAACTCTATGATTATAACGATAATTGAAGTATCTCAAATTAATATATAATGAAAACATTAAAAATATAGTATATTATAAAAATATATCCATTGTAAATCTGATTGATCGACGATAATGAGTTCTCATAAATATCGCTTATGGAACAACCCAATTTTTGTAGTGGCATTTTTTGAACAGGATATTCTCGATGTTCTGAAATCATTGTGCAAACAGTTCTTCTTTTTGACATTATTTCATCATCTTTATCACGTAAAAGTCCAAGCCATCTTCTAAACCAGTTCAAATCACAATGGCACACTAATGGATTATCTAAAAACAGATTATATATTCCGTTTATAACGTAGTCATATGTACTTACAAACGCTATATATATATATATATACATATAGACATACACACACATACACACACACACACACACGGTGATTCAAAGTCACATGGAAGCCAGGATATTTTTGGATTCATCTTAAAAAGTTATATAAAGTAAAATTAATAAAAAATTTTTTTAATAATTGAGGTATAAGATAATGAACCATTAATGAGGACCAATTAGCGGCTAGCTTTAGCTGGGTGGCTGCTTGTCGGCAAGCGGAAAAGTGGAAAGGGGAAGCAGCGCGAGCGCCCTGACAATAGTGTTCAATTCACAGTCCAACCAATCTATCAGTATATCTATAGCAGTTTGTTGATACAATGAGCATTACGAGCTATTCAGGATATTAAATTGGTTTCAACCGATTTTAATTTTCAAGCAAGTTGTAACTTGATTGTCGTATACTAAAAAGAAGAAAGAAAAGTATGTGTATGAGCGTGCTCGTATGCATATGCGTGTTTCATAGCCGTCAATGTCGACTGTATTAATGTTGACGAATACATTTTTAATGCGCATAACTACCTGTAAAAAATAATAAACACTATGTTATTGATTTAGTATAAGCTTGGCGAAAATGATATCGTGACATAATTCCATTTTTTTCAATTTTATATATTACAAGTACTATAACAACGATCATTTTTGTCAAAATCAAAATTAAAATAATAGTACGATCAAAATTTATTACCTATTGAAAACAATCAATAAGTAAATTATTGCTCTGTTGTTATGAACAATATTAACATTTATTTTAAATAAACTCATATTTCTGAAACGTACATAGTAGCGATTATTACGGCGATAATGTTAAACACGTATTGGTCCCGATTACGAATGGCGATAAAGCTATTAATTATAATTATTTATATAATTATTATTTTTGTTAGTTGATATATTTTTAATTGTTCGTTATAAAGACTGCAACGGTAGTCGATACGATTAATCGATACTTCCACGATTCGGTAGCACTCGCGATGATAGAGCGAACGTCTAAGAGAGAGGGGGCACGCGAGAGTTCAATTTTTCAGTATAGCCTCAGCTGTTCGTTGAAATACCGCCAAAGTTTTGCCCGTATGTTTCTGAGCGTTTTCTTTGCCGTTTACCGAGTGGAAGATTTGGATTTTTGGTACGAGTGTGGGTGTTGGAAGTGAGCGAGCAGCAACAGCTACTTTGGCACTAGCTGAAAAGCTAGACAGAGCAGCTTGTAATAGCAACGAGGCAGCAGCAACCGATCTCTGTGACAGAGGAATAGCAGCGAATTCAGCAGGGTCCAACATTTATTTTTCTTAAAAAATTACGGCTGATCACCGTAATTGCATCGTAGAGTAGGTGCACCTCCCTTTTTCTGCGCAATAAAATACTTACGAGAGTATTTTGTCTATCGCGACCGTTTGTGTGTTCACGCTGAGCGTTAGTTTTCGCGGTTGAATTTTGAATTCTCTCTCTCTCTCTCTCTCTCTCTCTCCCTGTATTATTGTTACACATTGTAAATCCTATTCGCGTGCGAAAGTCTTTTGGCCCATCAAAAACTGTAGTTTTCTAGTTATAAACAATTTTGATTTTATTTACCATATTACGTTATTTCGTTCTCTTTTAGTTTAACGGATCCTTCACCGGTTATTCTTTTAAATCGAATTCATCTAGGGGATAGTTAGAGTGAACATTGAGTCATTTATACCTAAGATAAATCGAGTGTCACAAGTCAGGTGACTTAAGGTGAGTTCAACTCAGTTGGAAAAGGAGACATTGGAACGAAAGTATCAAACGTAAAAGCGAATACACGTATACTCATACATGATTAACGGAGCGGCGATTTGCTCTACATCGTTAGAGTTTGTTCTTCAATAAACCCAATTTGTACCAGCTTTTTTGTTTTTTGAGGAGAGTCTGAATCCATTTACGGATAACTCACGGAAACCCGCCAAGTATGGGACTTAGTAGTTTAGGCCACCAATACCCACCAAACATATCTCTTGTTCTTCGCACCGCAACCAGCCTGGAACTGTTTATCACATTACTTCAGACTGGGCGGCTGTCATTGCGTGTCCAAGCACACATTCATCCCTTTAATAGTCATTCATTTCCAAATAGGCTCTGAAGTGTGCTCATTCATTCAATTTTCCAAGTATCCATCCATCTTTTTGTTTCGTAACACATTTGTAGCGTACAGCGCGATATTACGCCATGCGTCGGCTGTTGCCAACATTACGTTCGTCACGTTTTCTGGCGTAATCGGTCCTAATTCTGTCTCTAGTCTCAATCTTTGCTCAGCTCAACGGTTGCCCACGGAAAACATGTGCTCCGCGTCGTCCCAAGACCCCTACAGTACAAACAGTCTGGGGAAATTACCTTACCCAATCTGTGCAGGTACTTTCGGAAATATCCGTGTCCGGACAGAAACTGAGTGAGAGAGAAATCCACCTCTCCGTGTTTTCTATCTTTTTACGGACCAACGTCTGGTAGCAGTCTGTGGGTCCATCGTCATTGAACGTCTGTCGTCCATCTTATCTGCCTATATTCTGTCGTTTTCGTCCGTTTCTCTGTTGCAGCGTCGGCCCTCCCTACGGTCGCACTTCGGTCGTAAATGCGTTTCCGCTCGCCTGCCAAGAGGTCGATCGGAATAACGCCCGCGATCGCGAATATCGCGTTTGTCGAAACTGTTACGTACGCACACGCGATTCTTAGCGCTCCCGTTCTTTGTACGCTCGTCATAGTCTTTGCGCGTCTCCTCACCCGTAACGAGTCGGCCCATACCTCTGCTCCATAAAGCATGATGGAGTGGGTTACGCCCATCAGCAGTCTTCGTATACTCGGTCTCGGTCCTTTCGTGTTTGCCATCAGCCTGCTCAAGGCTTTGGTCCTTCCGCTGGCTCTGGCGGACGCGTCTCGTATGTGGGGCCAAAAGTTTAGTTTCGTATCTAGAGTCACCCCAGGTACTTTACCTCACCTTTGGTCTCCAGTCGTTCCGTTCCTATGGTCATCGGTATTATCATGTCTATTCTCTGTCTTGTCAGTATCAGTAAGCCTGTCTTAAAAAGAGCCAGGCTCATATTGGTGTCCGTCGTCCACCCGTCTAAACGCCTCATCACCTGGCTCAATTTGAGCTGAGCCAGATGTGTATTGCGGGCGGTTATTACGGCTGCTACGTCGTCAGTGTAGGCGACCAGACGCGTGTCCGGGGGCATGTCGAGCTTTATTAGTCCGTCGTACAGTACGTTCCAGAGGTCGGGACCCAATATGGATCCTTGTGCCACCCCCGCTGTAATTTTCCAGTACTTCCGTCCTTCCGTCGTTTCATACGGCAGTCTTCGGTCCTTTAAGTAATCCTTCAAGACTCTTAGAAGGTAGGCGGGCATCTCAAAGCCGTCTAGTGCTCTCAGAATATCCACCCACCTAGCAGAGGTGAAGGCGTTCTTTACGTCTAATCTTACTAGGAGCGTTATTGGTCTGGCTCCGTAGCAAATCTCGTTCATTCTGTTAACTACCTGTCTCACGTCTGTGATTGCTCTTATCGTTGAGCGGCCTTTCCGGAAGCTGTGTTGTCGGTCCAATAGGTCGCCAGCGGCTTGCACCGTCGCGTTCAGTCTTGGTCTCAGTAGCAGTTCGTATAATTTGCCGGTCGTGTTGAGGAGGCTCAAGGGCCTATACGAATTCGGCTTGTCGGGTTCTCCCTTTCCTTTGCCAATGAGTACCAACCTCGCGTTTTTTCAGAGTTTACTGAAAACACCCGCTGTCAGGCACCCACTATATAACTGCAAGAGTATAACGGACCGTCGAGTCGCTACATACCGTAGCAGTTCACCCGGTACACCGTCTGGTCCAGGAGCCTTGTTCATCTTCAGCAAGGTTGTCGCTCGTATGAGCTCTTCTCTTGTGAAGCAAGGACATTCCATTTCTTCGTCCGTGTTCGTGTCATCGATTCTGTCAGGATGCGTTGGAAAAAGACCTTCAATTATCTATTCCATTGTCCTAGCGTCTTTTGTCTCCGGTGGAGCTCGGACGCCTAGTTTCCGGGTCACGATTTTGTAACCCATTCCCCACGGTTCCGAGTCCACCTCGTCTGTCAATCGTGTCCAGCATTATCGTTTACTGTCCGTTATAGCTTGTCTCAGCCTTTTTCTGGCAAGTTTGTATGCCTCTGAGGCTTCTTCGTCATGCCTATTTCTTTGTCTTTGTGCCTGTCTACATCGCTGGTGACATTCGCGTCTGATGTCTGCAATTTCTAGCGTCCACCGGTACATCTGTCGCCGGTCGCGTTCGTATCGTTTTTTCGGCATCGTAGCTTCGCATAGGTGACGGAGGTATTTTTCCGCCTCCTCAGCTAACTTCTCCGCCGAGTCACGGTCCGTACCACTTCGAGTGGTGTACCAGCTAATCTACCCCGTTACAAAACTACTAAACTTGACTAAATAAAAAAAAAAAAACATATTATGCAATGACCAAAACTTATTGAGAAATTATCATTTTTCCTGTTTTCTTGTCGCTCGATAGTCGTGTACCCAATCGGCACTCTTTTACGTAGCTATTACTTTAATTATAATATCATATCAGTGTATTTTTGAGAACTATATATATAAGAAAATTCAGAAGGATCGTAGTTCTCAAAGACGGTTTGCAGAAAAAAATTTTCTAAATCGATTACCATTTTAAAAAATGTCATCTTTACTTTTTGCTCACTTCTGTTCGAGAGCTTGTAGAGATCAGACGTGCATCGAAGCACTCTCCGAAACCAAATCTAAGCTACTTATTGAAAGTAATACATATAAGATTTTACACAATAAATCTAGTTGAAATCGTTTAAACTTAAAATCAACCACTATGGCTGGAAATAAATAAAATGAGCAAAACACTGAGTGGAATACAGTGAACAACAAAATATCCAGAGATAGTCCTGATTAACATAGAATAAAAAAGAAAAGGCAAGCAAGCATCAAAGAGT